TCGAGCACTTTTTTTTGAGCGTTTTCTTTTTCTTATAATCAATACTGAGTTTAGGCATACAACAGCATTCATCTCGTCGAAAACCTGATGACAAAACGTGCAAAAAGCCGCATAGGCCCCATGCCCTGTTTTACTCAGTTTTTTCGCAACCGATAATGGATCTCGATTGTGGGTGAATCTAGCACTAGTTTTTTAGTGTTTTCTTTTCTTTATAAACAATACTGAGTTTAGGCATACAACAGGGTCGATTTTGTCGAAAACCTTATGCAAAAACAAGCTGAAAGCCGCATAGGTCCGATACCCCATTTTGTTTAGTTTTTTCGCAACTGATAATGGATCTCAATTGTGGGTGAATCGAGAACTACTTTTTGAGCTTTTCTTTTTCATATAATCAACAATGAGTTTAGGCATACAACAGAGTTCATCTCGTCTAAAACCTGATGACAAAATGAGCAGAAAGCTGCGTAGGCCCGATACCCCGTTTTGCTCAGTTTTTTTACCGATAATGGCTTTCGATTGTGGGTGAATCGAGCACTAGTTTTTGAGGATTTTCTTCTCTCTATAAACAATACTGAGTTTAAGCATAAAACAGAGTTCATCTCGTTGAAATCCTATTGCAAAAGCGAGTAGAAAGCCGATAGGCCCGATACCTCGTTTTTCTTAGTTTTTTAGCGATCGATAATGGATCTCGATAATGGGTGAATCGAGCACTAGTTTTTGAGCGTTTTCTTTTCTGCATAATCAATACTGAGTTTTGGCATACAACAGAGTTGATCTCGTCAAGAACCTGATGACCGAACGAGTAGAAAGCCGCATAGGGCCGATACCCCGTTTTACTAAGTTTTTTATCCACCGATAATGGATCTCGTTTGTGGGTGAATCGAGCACTAGTTTTAAGCGTTTTTGTTTTGGTATAATCAATAATGAGTTTAGACATACAACAGGGTTTATCTTGTCGAAAACCTAATGACAAAACGTGCAAAAAGACGCATAGGCCCGATACCCCGTTTTATTCAGTTGTTTAGCCACCAATAATGGATCTTGATGGTGGGTGAATCGAGCACTAGTTTTTTAGCATTCTGTTTTTTGTATAATCCATACTAAGTTTAGGAATACAATAGAGTTCATCTCATCAAAAACCTGATGATAAAACGAGCAGTAAGCAACATATGCCTGATACCCCGTTTTATTCAGTTTTTTAGCCACCGATAATGAATCTCGGTTATGGGTGAATCGATCACTAGTTTTTGAGCGTGTTCTTTTTTTTATAATTAATGTTGAGTTTAGGCATACAACAGAGTTCATCTTGTCGAAAACCTGATGCAAAAAAGAGTAGAAAACCGCATAGGCCCGATACCCTATTTTACTCAGGTTTTTAGGCACCGATAATGGATCTCGATTGTAGGTGAATCGAGCACAACTTTTGAAGTGTTTTCTTTTTCGTATAATCAATACTGAGTTTAGGCATACAACAGAGTTCATCTCGTCGAAAACCTGATGACAGAACGAGCAGAAAGCCGCATAGGCCCGATATCCCGTTTTACTTAGTTTTTCAGGCACCGATAATGGATCTCGATTGTGGGTGAATCGAGCACTAGTTTTTGAGCGTTTTCTTTTCTGTATAAACAATACTAAGTTTAGGCATACAACAGAGTTCATCTCGTTGAAAACCTGATGCAAAAACGAGTAGAAAGCCGCATAGGCCCGATACCCCGTTTTACTTAGTTTTTTAGTGACCGATAATGGATCTCGATTTTGGGTGAATCGAGCACTAGTTTTTGAGTGTTTTCTATTCTGTATAAGCAATACTGAGTTTGGGCATACAACAGAGTTCATCTCATCGAAAACCTGATGACAGAACGAGTAGAAAGCCGCATAGGCCCATACCTCGTTTTACTTAGTTTTTAGCCACCGATAATGGATCTCGGTTATAGGTGAATCAAGCATTAGTTTTTTAGCGTTTTCCTTTTAGTATAATCAATAATGAGTTTAGGCATACAACAGGGTTGATCTTGTCGAAAACCTGATGACAAAACGAGCAAAAAGCCGCATAGGCCTGATACCCTGTTTTACTTAGTTTTTTAGCCAACGATAATGGATCTTGATGGTGGGTGAATCGAGCACTAGTTTTTTAACGTTCTCTTTTCTTTGTAATCAATACTGAGTTTAGGAATAAAATAGAGTTCATCTCATCGAAAACCTGATGACAAAACGAGCAGAAAGCCGCATAGGCCTGCTACCTCGTTTTACTCAGTTTTTTAGCTGCAGATAATGGATCTCGATCGTGAGTGAATCGAGCACTAGTTTTTTAGCGTTTTCTTTTTGGTATAATCAATACTGAGTTTAGGCATACAACAGCATTCATCTCGTCGAAAACCTGATGACAAAACGTGCAGAAAGCCGCATAGGCCCCATGCCTTGTTTTACTAAATTTTTTCGCAACCGATAATGGATCTCGATTGTGGGTGAATCTAGCACTAGTTTTTTAGCGTTTTCTTTTCTTTATAAACAATACTGAGTTTAGGCATACAACAGAGTTCATCTCGTTGAAAATCTGTTGCAAAAACGATCAGAAAGCCGCATAAGCCCGATACCCCGTTTTACTCAATTTTTTAGCGACCGATAATGGTCTCGATTGTGGGTGAATCGAGCACTAGTTTTTAAGCGTTTTCTTTTTGTGTAATCAATACTGAGTTTAGGTATATGACAGAGTTCATCTCGTCGAAAACCTGATGACAGAACAAGTAGAAAGCCGCATAAGCCCATTACCCCGTTTTACTCAGTTTTTTAGCCACCGATAATGGATCTCGATTATGGGTGAATCGAGCACTAGTTTTTTAGCGTTTTCTTTTTTGTATAATCAATAATGAGTTTAGGCATACAACGTTAGAGTAGATGCCCTAGAGGCAATCAATTATTGTAGAATTGACTCTTTGTAATAATGTTCATTAATCAATAAAAGGCATTTTATTTAATTTCGCGTAAATCATTATTATTGTAATATGTATTGATATATGTCTTTATAATGATAGAACCGTGACAAGGGTATCAAGTGTTTTAAATCTTGATAGTGAGAACCATATGAGCATATATGGTAACCATTCTAGAAACGTCTGTAGCCCTAGTATTATTCTTAAGTAAGAGCACAGATAATACGGTAAGGCTATCATAGTGTTGAATGACCCTGTCGAAAGGCATTGACTAATCTTACTTGTCAAGGTTGTTTGGTGACAACCTGGTGCAACACATGGGTGCTTGTTATAGGCAAATACACCGCAGCAAGTTCATTGGACTGACCTACCAGAGGATTCCATATGGATGGTAACCCTAGTGTCTATGGAATAAATCCTCTAATAAATGGTGGTACACGTGATCCTTAGACTTGAGATCACCGGAGCGCCTTGTGCACCGATTGGTGCAATTTGACACTAGCCTAACGTAGTTCTATTCAGAGCTGTTAATACAGTGGTGATTGGCTGCATCAAGGAGTATATCAAGACTATGGTGGATCGACGAGGATTCATCACTCCCGGATACAGGAGAAGTTATCTCACAGCGCAATTCAGTATATGGCAATGACACTAAAACTGCAACCACAGTGGGATTGAGTGTTGCTCTATCCGAATTATAATACAGGTCATTGGTCTAGAAACTGAATACATAACATCGAGAGTAACCAAAGGTTGATACTATTTCTATGTCTTCGTCTCGTCAAGATAACGTATGATGAAATGATCAAATTGTATGGTAACCATATCGTTGACAGTAGCTACTTTGCTGAATCCGAATCTATCGAGTGGTCATGATGCCTTGCTAGGAGCCAATCTTAGTCTGTGTATTAGTGAGACGATTAATTGGTGTTAATCGCGATACTGAGACGATTAATTGGTATTAATCGCGATACTATATACTACCGGTATGATGAGGAGCCTATGGGTCATACACATAGAAGATAATTTAAGACTCAAGAAAAAAGAATGGTGTTTTCATCTTTTTAAGCAAAAAGGTATTTTGGTAATTTCATAATGTAATTAAATTTGCTGAGATCGTAACCTTTATTTAATTTATTACAAAAAATTAAATAAGAATTGTTAGGGGGTAAATGTAATTAACCCACAAATTTCAAAAATTGATTTTTTTTTTTAAATGTATGTTTTGTACTTGTTTGTATATTGCATAGTACCCGGTACATGAGCCTTAGACTTAAGGGTGAATGTTTTAAATTATTTTTGGGTATGTATAGTTGTAAATTTATGAAATAGGGCATGCGTGTCTTGCCTTTCTCCTTTTCTCAATGTACATTCTCTTCTCACCTCATTCCTTTCGAATGTAAATTGAGGTTTCTAAATTTATTGATGTAAAGAATTTGTATAATTATTTTATTGTAAATTTAGAATGATATTTTTGTAATGTACTTGAACACGAAGCAAAAGACGAGGCAACCATACTTGAAGACTCAAAATGTTTATTACAGGACCCCTAAGTGACCCACCGATTCCTCTAGGCTTGTGGAAATTGGTTTTAATTGGGCCATGTACCGGCACGTTTTATATTATGTTTAGAATGCATGCTAAGGTTGAATGTTGAATAACATACCAAACAATGTCATTCTAACAAAGATAATAATCTGATGAAACATTAAATAACAAACCCTTAATTAAAGTATATTAAGTCACGTATGCCTTCTATCATCATGGTTTTAATCAAACCATTGTTCGTTGAAACCTTGTTCGTCAAAGCGAAGGGTACACTTCTACCAGTGGGAGGTTAAAATGCATTAGAGTTTTCCTTAATAGTGATGAGTCGACTTAAAATGATGGTTTTGCTTGTTCGCCAAAAGCGAAGGTTGATAAACATGTCATAGGCATAGTAGAGCAATGCACATATTGTGTGTACATGATAGCATGTAATGTCCACTCTACTGATACTGAGAATCACACTTAAGGATAATGGTTAGAGCCATTGGATTGTGTGATTGACTTGTTGGCTTTTTCACATTTGAGATTGATAGTAAGAGCTATCAACTGGTATGGATTAAGTTTGTTGGTCTACCTAATCAACTCATTTTGGCTTGTTTACCAAAGCGAATGTTTGAAATGGGCAAGTAAAGATGAATTCCTGGCTCCATATGAGTGAGAGGTGTTTCAATTTCCCATGTGGATTAAGCTCCTGGAGGCCACAGTTGGTGAGGTTAAATGTAATTCTTGGTTCTATGAGAGGTGCATCCCGAAGATCCAAATATGTTAATGAGCTGAGACCTTGTGATGTTGTACTAACCATAGTATCAGTAGTATAGTCTACTTGAAGGCACAATTTCTGAATGCTTGGCAGTATGGGTGCTTGGATATTATTTGTTGATGGACGAGGTCCCAAATTTGGGCTAAGCAATTCAGTCGCCATAACAGCAGATACGTAGCCAATCTCAAGTGATGTGAGTTTTGATGAAGCTAAAGCCCAAACTCGAGCAAAATTATGACGAAGAAATATTGAGATGTCAAACATTAGTATCAATGCCTACCAAAACAATAAAAATAAACATCAGATTGCATGTATTGGACAGTTTCAAAACGTCAAAGAAAACGTAAAAACAAAAAAGACTGAAAAAAATAATACAGAGGAAAGTAGAAAACATCAGCTACATAGGTTTTAGGAAACTTCAGTAAGTAGAATCCTTACATCTTAGATAATATGCACAGAGCTGCTATCTATCATTCATTTGATAAAGGCCCATGGCCAAGGAGGAAACCAGCCACATAGTCCATCCAACTTGAACCACTCTTAATCATTACCCTTCCTTCAAGTTCATGAATGTTTGTACAAACTATGGTAAATAAAGGGTTCAGAGTGAAGTAATCTAATCAACTTAAGCTTCAATATGATAAATTTAGATCAGCCTAGAACTTGAAATAACCAAGCACAGTGTTGCTTCATAGTATACTTCCCCCCACCCAAAGAAAAAGCCCAAACTAAACAGCTATTTCGACAGAAAACTGTCATTCATTTTCTCTACCCTATCAAAAGTTTAGAGCCAATACCAGATCGCCAATAGAAACATATCATACATGTAACGAAAGTGTTTAAAAATTTAAGTTAAAGTCTATGAAATGATTGTACATTTCTATATTACAACTTTCATCCACACACTATTAATGTGAGTCATAATCATCATGTAAATACCAACATGGCTACCTGATCCAAGACAGTGATTGGATGTGAAGTATAAATGATAACAAAGAAGAAGAGGAAGAGTTAATAACAACAGATTCCCAATTATCAGTAGACACAGTAACAATTTGCTTCCCTTTTGAAATATATTAAAGCCGCATATCGGAGGCCGATAAATTTCAATGAATAAACCACATTAAATGGCTCTGAGATCAACTGATCCATGTAAAATATCCACCAAAACATTTCCTTATATATTTTTCAATACACTCTTTCCTATCTGTTTTAAAAACTAAGCCTTACTTCTAACTGAGTGCAATTTTTGAGCAACTCCTCCAAGTCAGAAATATGAATAGATCGCCCCCGTTTTTCAGCAACTGAGCCCAAGCACAGAGACCTGAAGGAAATTTGACATAGAATCTAATAATGTCGCCGATCATATACAAATAAACACAATCACTTTACTATAAAATTATACGTTCTCAATCACATATATGTATAGCATGTAACTAGCATTATACGGGTAAAAGCGAACGCATAAATAATATACCTGAGATCCTTGCATTTGCATCCAATTTCACATAGCAATTTCCCGCTAAAATCTGTGCAGTTGTAAAGACAAAGCTCGTGCAGTGAAGGGCGAAGCATAAAATCAATGGCTGAATCATCAAGCTTTCCACAATCAACCTTTAGGCTCCTAAGAAAAGGATTTGGTGGTAACAAAGGCCTCATAATTTCCATTGACGGTGCAACATCCTTCAACATAAATCCACAAACAAACACTTCAGAACCAAAACACTTTCCCATTTCCTTATTTCAATAAATGAATATAACAGCATAACAGCCCTGACCTAACACAATCCATATATATTGACAATCTTAAATTGTCTACTACTCAAAAGTCAAAATTTGGTTATCCCCTTACATTTCTCATCGTAATATACAAAAACTCCTGGGGTTTGCTAACGCATACTTCATTCGTCAGAAAAACAAATAAACAAAAGCAACCCGTATAAAAAAATGGAGAAGGGAAAAACACTAAAATATTATCCATTCATCTGGGTAGACTATCTCGAAATTTCTCCTCAATTATAAAACAAAACCACAACTACCAATTACGCAAAAGTAAAAAATTTAACTTTTCCTTTACATTTTTCATCAAACATTCAAATAAACTTCAGGGATTTGCTCACACATGCTTTAATTTGTCAAACAAACAAAAACAATCCACATAAATAAACCGACTAAAAATAAAAAGAGCAAACTTGATCACAAAGAGCTTGAAGAAGAACATTGCAAAACTTACAAGAATCTGGAAGACGGAGAGAAAAGAGAGGATCTGAGAAACACAGTCCTTGAACGTAGAACACGTGGCAGCAACGGAGCAGATCGAAGCCACATCAAGCTTGGTGATGATGGTACACAAGACAGCCGGAGGAAGCTGATCCAGGGAGTGCCTAAAGCTTTCATCGTTAGCCATTCTCAGAGAATGAGAATGGCTTTGCTTTCACTCAACTGGGATCTGTTGGGATTGTGAATGATGGATGGAAGAAAGGATAATAAGTATTGACTGAGAGTTTGGCACATGTGAAGAGTGGGGTGCTGACGCTCAATTCTACGATGTTGTCTGGTTAATGCAACTGTAGCAGTTGACATGGTTAACTTTAGTTTGGAGTTCACTTTAACTTGTGTTTCTGTCCTTAGTTAGAGTTTGTGAATGGGCCAGGTGGGTTGGCCCAGCCCATTTTGTTGGATTAGATGAGACCCAATCCGAAATGAATCAGCCCATTTTGGCTGAGAAAATTTTATAACGTATATTTATTCGAAGCCTCACTGTCAAATATTGTTTGCTTCCTTTGGGCCTTGCTCTTCCTGGTCTTCACGATTTTGCCTTTGGGTTATGCCCAACACGCGTCTAATAGGTTGGGAAACCACAGGCTATTTAATTAGCTTAACCCTCTCATTTTCAAGCGACGTGAGATGTCATAATTTAAATAATTTCAATTAACAAATAAAAAATAATAACTTTAAGTAATTTCGATTTTAAAATTTTAACCAAAACATTATAATCTATAATTGACCAATTTGCAGGAGAGAAATAATAACTTTAAAAAGAATAATAGTGGATGATAATAATATATTACATGAATGAAATAATACCAAACATATATGCATTAAAAATATAGTTTTACTAGTTCAAGTTAGATTTTCAATCTTAATTTGATTAAATCAATTTAATTTCAGAGTTTATAATCTAGGAAAATAACATTTATAATGATTTTATTGATTTATTGTAATAAATAAAAATATCAAATGATTCATTATACATATATAACATATATATTATGTATTCACATAAAATTACGGATAATAGCATATTATGTATAATGTATAATGCATATGATACAATATAGAGTTGGGGTGGGGTTGGGTGGAGACATTTTGGGGTGGGGGAAAGATTAACCTCGTCTCTGAAATCGAGGATTGCTTTTATGCCAAAACCGCTCCTAATTTATTCGGAGAATCCCTGTCTCGTTCGGGCTGGGGCAAGGAATGTGCCCATCCCGAGGCCCAAAACAGATAATATTTGACAGTTGGGCCAAGGTGTTTCATAAATCTCCTTCAAATACATACGAATTTTTTTTGATCAACCATTCTTTATCAAATACTTATTGTAGATGGCACTCTAAATTCATTATAGCTATAAGACATAACAAACAAATTCATAAACCAACTGAGAAACAAAGTAATTGAAATTGATGAAAAAGACCCAAATCAAAATAATGATCTAAGTAAGAACAATAGAACCAGCTTAAAAAGACCCAACACATAGGTGTATTGCTTCAAGTTTGGAATTAATAAGTTAATTAAAAATTGTAGGAACTAGATTTAGGTTAATGAAGCTGGAGTGAAAAAGGCTTTGTAAAAGAAATTTAAATATATTTTAAGGTGATTTATGTAATTTAAAATCATTATTAAATTATAACTAGAATTTATTACTAATATGGGCTTACCTAACTAATTATTAGGGCTTGAATAACAACACTCTTATTCGAATAACGCCCCTCGTTTTGATGTTACTTTGACAATTAGTAGACCTGAAAAAACGGACGGGTGGGTCGGGCATGAACCTAAAACAGGTCGATCTAAATAGGCTCTAAAAATTGGACTCGGACCCTACCCTATACGAGTATGAGTGGACCCGTGGGTACCTGTACTGTTCACTCCAATTTTAAATTTTGATAGTTACACCCCCACAATATTTTCATTTTTTACAATCACACGCCCACAATCAACTCCTGCTCTGATTCTTCCATAAGCGATGATTCTTACAACAATGAACTGGAGAAATCCCGTTTGATAAGCAATGATTCTTCCAAATACATCATCTGCAATTAGGAGCAGAATTAGATCAACATATGCAGCCGAAGGGTTGTAAAGTATTAGATAGTATAAAAAAATGCTCTTTATACAGCATCACAATATCTTCACAACAATAATAACAGTCATGAAACATTTCAATGATACAGAAAATGCTATCATTTCTGCTATTACTTTTATTATTTTTTCCCTTCTTAAAATTGACAGAATAGAAAGATGAGGTGAGGCATAGAAGATCTTTGCAATATATATATAATAAGAAAAGAAAGAAAAGAGTAATAAATAAATCTTTAAAAATTGACAAGCATGCTGGAAAATAGAATCCTTCCTAACTGTAGTGACACAGCCAAAAATATAGAGTAATGCTACAGTCACCGAAAGGAGCACACCAAATTCATGCACCGAATGACATGACACAATTCTGACCGTCGATTAATATTAATTCATAATTAATCGACGGCCAGGATTGCGTCATGTCATTCGGTACATGAATTCAGTATACTTCTTTCGGTGATTGTATTATTTTTCATACATATAACAGGGAGACTACCCAATCGATGCTTACCCAATCTCACATTTGCTAACACTACACTTACACCCAACCAACTACGGAGGATGTTGTTAGTTTTTTAAATTAAGGGGGTGAAATGTTTTATGCCAAAGATAGGGGTGACAGCTAATTTATCCTATTTGGTATTTATATTTCTTCCATTTTATCTAAGTGGCTTAAATATCCAAGTTTTTTTTTTTTTTTTTTTTTAAAGAAAAATTCTTTTGCTTATATTTTTTTATTAAAATTTTTACGCTATCAACTTTGTTCTTGTGAATGTGGTGTTTTTCAAATCTATGAAGACAATGCATTTAGAAAATAGAGAACACGTTTTCGAAAGTCAAAAAGTTTTTTGCATACCCACGTGAACCACAATAGAGCGAACCATTAATAAGCACACACATCTCTTTCTCTTGATTAGTTGTTCACACGTAAGATGAATATATCATGCAATCAATTAAAATATGTTACAGTATATTGTAACATATGATATAAACACGTCATATAGACAGTAAGTAAATGTAGGTACCAAATATTTTTGTTATTGTTGAGTAAATATAAACCTTCCCACACTATAGTTAGTCAGGTGATTAATTCATGGTCTCAAATCACCAATCTTGCCATTTATGGTCTGTCAAAAACGTAACACTATGAAAAAGGTACATGGGTTTTTGAAATTTACATATGGAGGAAAATATCATTTAATAACCAAGTGTTAAAATTCATGGCATAGGGACCTACCAATTAGTATGTCGTGTAAAACATCTACGTATTTATTGAATTTAAGCCTTGTCTATGCAAGTCTTCAACTTACTAGTACAAGTACTTCGTGCGAAACATTTTACATATTCATTGTATTTAAGCTTTGTCCTTGGAAGTCTTCAACTTACTAGAACAAGCCATCACTGGCAAGGCAAGTATCATGTGCACTGATGTGACCATTTCCTAATTACCAAATAGAGATATGGTCTAAAGATTGATAATCGAAGATTGCGCTAATTACTTTTCGGGACATGTTAACCCTCCCTAATAAGATATAGCTATTCCTCCATGGCACACTAGCATTCAACCGAACTGCAGCAGAGGAGAGCTTTTGCCTTCCTACTTTATGTCGGAAAGAAAGGACGACTGAAACAACAAAAGAGGCTTAATGACATTAAGAGATCAGGAGACAAGAACAAAATAATCTTCAATTGCTTGTTATCATTCATTATTCCTCTAACTTTAAGCAACAGACTTACAATGTTGAAGAACAGCTACAAACATTCAACTAAATACAATTACAAAGCTTGAGATCTCCATTTTCAGTGGAAAAACATTCTATATGAGCCAGCTTTAATGATTCAAACGTGTACTATGTATCAAACTCTGAGAGTATTCACTGTAATCAACACTGTCGAAAATCCTTAATGAACTTAAAACAATAGTATTCAGCCCCTTCTCAGCAGTGTGATGCACAAAGAAAACTGTATCAACTTGAATCACCAACAGAAAATCCTCTATCGGCAGCATAATCCACAAAGCTATAAAGTGGCACCACTTTCTCACCGTACTTCTCGAACCCATCCAATTCCTTCTTAGCTTTGGTTCTAAGTTCCTCAGCCACCTCCATAGCCTTGTCAACGCCATAGACAGCAACATAACTCTTCCCCTTTTTTTTTGTTTTCTCTTCATCTTCCTCACTCTGTGTTTTCGCATCCAACAAATCATCAACCACTTGATACAATACCCCGACAGCTCTTCCATAGCTCCTCAATTTCTGCACTTCATCATCTTCTGCACCAGCCAACAATCCTCCACACACTGCAGAGCACTCACCCATTTCACCGAATTTTTTCTCTTGCACAAATTCAACAGAATTAGGCCCACCTTCAATATCAAGGAACTGCCCGGCAGCCATGCCAGTTGATCCCACAGCACGGGCGATCTCAGCAATCACACGAAGGATGCGGGTTTCAGGTACAAGGTCAGAGGGTGTGTGGGATACAATGTGTTCATATCCAAGAGGGAAGAGTGCATCCCCAGCAAGGATAGCCATGTCAACGCCATAAATTGTGTGGTTTGAGGGTTGGCCCCGGCGTGATGGGTCATCATCCATACAGGGAAGATCATCATGAATCAATGAAGCAGCATGGACCTGTTAAACAAAAATTTTTAATTAGACCGCTTCTACTTCAACTGTGATTCAATTCTCAAGAGCAGAGAATTCAAAGCAATTTTTGCCTTTAAACCAACAGAATGATTTCAGAATGTATGCAAACAGATTCCTTCTGCCCCACTGGGTTGAGAATTGACACTGGTATGCAATGCAAAATTCCAAATCTAACATTCACTTTTTGTTTGCTAACAAACTAATCAGAGAATATATATAACAAATATAAAAATAGACATTGTACCTACAATCTGATGACACAAAACTTTTTAAATGTTGACATAACTCATTTATATCAAGATTCTCAGGTCAAATAATGCCTTAATTTTATGATAACATAGTAAACCATCACAGTCAAAATTGAAATTTTAACAAGAATTAAAAGTAAAAAAATAAATAAACTTTACCAAAAAATAAGAAATAAAAGATTCAATTCAACTCCAAAGAATATCTGAAGTAAAGAGAGTCGAACCATTTCAAGAGCACAAGCAGTGGGAAAGGCAGCAAGGCGATTACCACCAAAGAGCTCACAAGCCGCCACACACATGACAGGTGGCGCCCTTTTGG